GGAGGGGGGGAGAGAGAGAGAGAGAGAGAGACATTGATGTGAGAGAGACATCAATTGGTCGCCTCCTTCACGTGCCCCGATCAGCATGTGCTAGGCACTTACGCCCATCACGCCTAATCTCACAGCCTTCCCAGAAAGGATTTACCAGCTTCAGGTTAGAAAAGCTAAGTGACTTTCTTAGGTCACAGAGCAAACAAGGGGAGCAGCCAGGATTTAACACTGATTCTCCTGATTCTAAAAGCCATGCTTTTGAAATGTGCTATCCTGGACTGCTTTCACTTATTAGTTCATGTAATTCTCAAAGCGACTGTGGAGTACCACCGAGAGAGCCTGGGCATTCTGGCTCTAGCCTGTCTACTTGATTGGCCTGCTATCTTGTCATCTGCTTGGTGACAGCCAGGCTTGGTCCTTGGCACAGGCAAGGGGCTCAGGAAGCAGCCGTTGGCTCAGGCAGGACTTTCTCTGCCAGCTTTGCTCTGCTGGGGGCTGACTTCGCAGGGTTTGTCCCATACAAGGGCGTCCCTCTCACATCTGTCACCCTTGATGTCCACTCCAGGTCACAGAGACGCGCACTGGGCCTCTGGGCTGTAACAGCTATGACAATCTGGACTCTGTGAGTTCTGTCCTTCTGCAAAGCACCGAGAGCAAACTTCACCTTCAAGGTAGGTGCCCGTGGCAGTGGTGGGACCAGAGGGTGGAAGGGGAGGCAGCCTGGGGGAGGCAGGATGAAAGACAGAGAAACCAGTGAAAACTAAGGCAGTTATGATATAAAGTCCTTTTCAAAATTTTAACACCAACAGGACATTAAATTTGTGGTTATTAATTAGTTTTCAGATACCAGGTATGGAAATGTGAGCTTTATCTGATTATTTTGATGAAAATGTCTGAGCAGTGTTATTTATAGATGCTCCAGATCTAACATATATTAAAGTTTCATATGATATCATCTGAATTTCCTACATGATGGTGTTTTCAGTGTATTTTGGCAGGTGTTATTTGAATCCCAGGAGATATAGGGCAATTTATGGAATTTCTGGTTCTGTGTAATCTTTTTCCTTATTTTTAACCATTTGTGGCCTTCAGAATATTCATACACACATACACACATGTGTTTATGTATGTGTATGTGCTTGTAGCAGAGCTGACAAATGCAAATACTCGAGGCTTCCTAGGGTGTAGAGAGACAGATGCACTTAGGCACTGTAGTGAGAATGTAACAATCACAAGGGCTAATTGGTTGCTATATATAAATATTTGTATTCATTTAATGTCTATTATACATCAGGTCTATGTTAGGTGCTCCATATATACTCATGACCTTAGAATAATATACCATTTACAATATTAATATTATCCTTATTAATTCATCAAAAAGTGGGGAAGAGATTGTAGGGGAAACTGACAAGGCTTTAAGTACAGATGGTGCTGCTTTAAAAAGCATAATTTATAATAACAGAAAAACAACGTAAAGATCTCAATTTTCCACATGAGGAAACTAAGTGAATTAATGTAGCATCCATACAACATAATATCAGGCAGTTACTAAAACGCTGTTTATAAAGAATTTCCCGGTGTATGTGACAGTGATCTGATATCATGTTTATTTAAAAATGGGTGGGTTCTGATTTAACGTAGGGCATCACAACGTCAAGGAAGAAGGTAAAACAGCATTGCAAGGAAATATGCCGTGACGTTAGAAGAGCTTACCTCTGGATGGTTAGGTTATAGACGATCTATTTTGGGCTTCCAGTTCCTTTTCTAACTGTTCTACGGTGATCATATATTAACTTTATAGTCAGAAAATGAAATGACATGCTTTAAGTTGGAGCAGACTAAAAATGCGACCTCCTAGAAAGGTATGTGATAAAGGTGAGTCTGAATGTCAGTGGGAGGAAAGTCGGGCTGAGATTGTCAGGTGGAGCTAAGCAGAGCTCAGTATGACTTTTATATTCCGGTTCCTTGGCAACATTTTGAGTCACGCACCTGTTAGAGAAGATGGTTGGAAAGAGGTTTGGGGAGGGCTTGGAAGTGTCACTGGGGAGCAGTGAATGAAGATTCTCAGGGAAAGCGAGGCCAAGAAAGTGGTTTAGTGTTAAAACAAAACACACCCTCAAAGACATGAAGAATAAGCCTTTGTTAGAGAAAAGAGTAGACAGATGGATCTGGTGATGCCTAATAAGAAAGTCAGAACCGCCTTGGGTGTGCCAGTGATGTTCCTGTGATACCTGCAGCGACCTTCAAGTCCCAGCAGGCTTTGAACCCAGGAGGTTTGGCTTCAGTCTGCATTGATCACCCTGCTGTGCGCGTTAGAGGCGGAGAGACCTATGAGTTATCATTGGAATAAATTTAGGGAGAATTCATGGGATGTTACTAGAAATTTAATAATATCATAGGGACATTCTGAGGCTGACTTAACATGAAGCTAATGAAACTTGAGGTCCAGGATTCCCTCACCTCTAAATCCTCATATTTTCTCATTCTAAATATCCATGTTCATGCCTTATTTTGAATTACATTTCTCAGTCAGCAACTGAAGTATAAGTCTCAGTCCCCCAAAACCCAGGTCTGCCATCGCTTACATTATTAAAAGTATAGTATCCAGAAAAAAAGATGATAGCTTTGTCCTATTCTGAATTGGTTAGAGCACACCTGGAGGACTGGATTCAAGTCTGCACATCACACCTCAGGAGGGACATTAAAAAACCACAGTGCACCCGAAGGAGGATGTCTTATGACAGATAGCTGAAGAAGGGTGACGTGTCTTGCAGAAAAGATAGCCAGATTTATTAACATGGATAAAACAGGCTAAACGTGATCTACTTACAAGAGACTGCAAGGACCCCAGCTCTGACCTGAGATTATATAGATCTCAGTTTAAACTCAGTGTAAAATAGGCCTTCTAATGCACAGTCACACCAGACCTAGAGTGGCCTGCTGAGTATGTAGTGACTCTGAGGTATACGTAAATGACATTGGTAGGCATGTTATAGAGATTATTGAATCATCATTCCATTGGGTTGGGTGATTGAAGTAAGTGTTCTTTAAGACCTTCGCAATGCTGATTCTAGGGTTTTATGAAGACTTTTCTTGAAACTGGCCATGTGCCGAATTTAATGGTAGACAGTGAGTGTAGGAGCTCAAATCAGTTCATTTCACTTCACTATATATGGGGGGGGGGGTAGGTTTTACAGTTGTCAGCACGGGAAACACAGAGTTTATTCTTGTATCATTACTTATTAATTATTGTATTATTTTCCATATGAACAACTGTAAACCTGCTTTTACTCCTCCCTGTATATATTTTTCAAGAAACCATATTGGCATTGAACTTGGCACAGGGATACAGGAGAAAACAAGACACATTTTCTACCCCAAGGAAGTATATGCTCTATCAGAGAAGATGGACTTAAACAATAATAGGCATAATGCATTTTAATGGAGAAAAATATATGAGGGTTTTATGGTTCTAGTTTGTATGGGGAGTGAACTTACTAGGGAGTCAGGGAAGCTTTCTTGCGGGAAAAAAGGGTGCATAGGATGAGACCTGAAGTGTGAATACGAGGGCAGGGCCATGGATATGGAAGCAGGCAGAAGAGTTTATGAAGGGGCATTCGAGGAACTGAAAACGTCTTAAGAGATTAAAGCTGAGACATCAATGGTGAGAGAGACAAAGGGATCCTCTCCGTCCTGAAGGCCTCCGCAGTGCATGACTGAGTTGAACGTTAATTTGAGAGTACTGGGCACCACGGGAGGGTTTTTACCAAGGAAAGTAGCGTGAAGAGATTGATGCGATGGAAGACCACTCTGGCTCTTGTGTGGTCGGTTAATTGGAGAAGGGCAGGTTACAGGTTGGTGACCAGTTGGAGTCTACTACAGCACTTACGATGAGAAGTCACAGATTTAGACATGGAGGTAGACGTTGGGATGGAGGAAAAGAGGCCAATTTTAGAGTTACTTTGAAGGCATCATGACCAGGATTCAGTAAAAAGACCGTGAAGAATTCAGATAATTGAGTGAATAGAGTGTGGGGATGAGATAGGGAAGATGGACAGGAAATACGTATGATTCAAGGTGGTGTATAATAGAGGTAATGAAAGTAATGCATACTATTATGAAGACCCCGAAAAGGGAGTAATTCACTCTGTCTGTCTAGATGGAGGAATCATAGGGAACAGTGGTATCTGAGGGAAAATAATCTTCTGGTGCCGAAGGGACAAGGGAAAAGCTCCTTAAATATGAGACAGAAGACTATCTCATGACTTTTCAGTAGTCTGGTATTTATCGGCAGGGCATGGAAAGCACTAAGCACGAGAGAAAGGCTGATAAATTGGACTCCGTTGAAATTAAGAAATTCTGTCCATCAGAAGCAGCTATTCACAGAAGGAAAATGCAAGCTGCCGCGCGGAAAGGAGTGTCTGCCATGTGTGTATCTGACAGAGGACTCTGCGCAAAACACGCAAATAACTCCCAGAGCCAATAAGAAAGAGACAGACAACCCAGAAAGACAGGAAAGGGGGGAAAGATATGAACAGGCACCTCGCAAACGAGAATATCAAAGTGGCAAATAAACATTGGGGAAGGTAAACTTTCCCAGTCCTCAGATAATGTAAATTGAAACCACAGTTCAGTATCGTAAGGCGGCGATCAGCTGGCCCAAGTGAGGAACACTGACAAGATCAAGGGGGGACTGTGAGGCGCCCCCGGGCCTACACGCGTTGCCTGGGGGAGGGACAGGGAAAAGTGAGCGCAGCTACTTTGGAAAACTCTTTTGCAGTAGTTACTGAAAACGCAGTGTGCCCTCGCCATCTGACCCAGCAATTACAGCTCCCGGGAAGTGCCCAACGGAGAAATGTTACCTACCGTCCCCAAAAGGCATGGATGCTCATAGCGGCTGCCTTCAAAATTCCCAATGGGAGTAGCCCCAAATGCCCATCAGCAAGAAAACGGGTAAATAAGTTGTCAGACATTCACATGATGGGCTACAACAGGGAAATGAGAACAGAATAAATACCCTTTCATGCAACGACGTGGAGGAATCTCATGGAGATCACGCGCAGTAGGGCTCCATTCCCACGCTGGTCAAACCAGTAAAAACGGAGGCGTCGTTTCAGAGTCCGGAGAGCGTTACCCTTTGGGGAGGATGAGTGGGGCAGTGACTGATGGGAGACCACGGATGTTTCTGGAAGTATTGGTAATGTTCTGTTTCTTCATCTGGGTGGCGGCACACGGTGTGTTTACTTTGTGGAAATGCAGAGCTGTACACGCGTGATGTATATGCGCACGTTTCTGTGTGTGTAATACGCAGCTAGTAACCATTTATTTATTAATGCGCTCCACCTTGACATCCTCTGGAAAGAGAAAACCGAGTACAGCAGGGAGGTGGTCCAGCCCAGGAGGAGCCCAGCCGCATGGACTGAGGCCAGAGCAGCCAGAAATCACAGTAGATACTGTTAATTCAGCGCTTCCTTATGAGACAGGGGCTGCACTAATTTATCTTTAGTATACTTACATTTATCTTAATTTACCCTTATTTGCATTATATAATTGTATTTGTTACATTTTTAATCCTCACAGCACTGCTACAAGAGAGGCATAAATAACATCCCCGTTTTGCAGGTGAGGAAATGGGGCTGGCTCCCTAAGTGACTGAGCCAGAATCTGA